CTCATGAAATTTTCAAAATTTCACAATGTTTTAGCTACGTAAATATCCTATAATACTACGTATTAATATTATTTGAGTTGAAAAATATACATTGAATAGCCCCAGTTAAAATCAAACTTATTAAAAATGGTAAATTGTCGAGTTGAATGGAATTGAAATTGTGATCCAAGATACATAGAAATTGTGATGCGACTATAGTGAGTGTAAATATATATTTGACAAAAAAACATCCTGAACCTACAAATTCACTCGCAAGGTACTTTCTACCAGTCGTGTTAATAAACTTACTGCAAATACTACATACCTAATACATTAAATAATAAGATACACCTTTATTTTGATTAATTACCTATAATATTAGTAGTTATTAGAAGTAGGTGACAGTGACAGACGTAAATGACCGAACGGATTTCCAAAAGTTGAACCCCCTATTTGGGAAACTTACATAATCTTATGGGCACGTGGGCGGCCCTGGGCCCCTTCCCCTGGCGAGGTCTAATGCTGAGGTCAATTTCAATTGGTTGCCACAGTTACGGATCATTCACGGTCCGATGTCGATCAGGTGGCACGTGACCGCTGTGTGAAGGTGGTGAGGATGTGGTGCGAGACGCGATGCAGCACGCGTGAGGCGTGCGGCGTGCATGGTGCCCCGCAGATTTACGCATCCTCTGCACGGCCCTTCAAAATGCTTTAACACGCTGTAGGCAAACACTATCATGACAATCATTCGCCTCAATGCGTGGAAGGAGTACTGCCCTTCCATTTCATGCACGCGGAATTTTGACTCTGGTGTGGTGTGAGAGTAAGAGTCCCAATCCTTTATCTTTGACTCAGTTGGCCCTTCCAGTCGCTTTCACCGTGGCCAACAAAATACTGGAACGAATCTTAGATGTGGCTCTTGGCGGCCAATCCGACGACCCAGGTTCTTGAGACTTGGGTAAAAGAGGCCGTTCTCATCCTTCGAGAGTAGATACTCGGCTTCTTTGAGATCGGCAGGCCGAATAGGTTCTTCTACCCGCTTGGTGGCATTACTAGCACAGTGTTTTTCGCATCTGAATGAACACACAATCTTCTTTGTCCCAGTAATAAGACACCTGCAATGCGGACCGGAACGCGTGGGTGGTGGCTTCAGCTCAAAGGGCTCGTTAACCGGGTCTACTTGGAGTCAGCCAATGTCCGACTGCTGCTAGACTCACAGGGTGCTTATTGTTTCGGCTGTGTACATTGTTGTTATGTTATGTTTCGTTTCAATCTGTAACGGCAATATTGCGACAGACGGTGGAACGAGCGGCCCAAGGCAATGTCACTCGGCAGATGTAGCTGTGGTTACAGATGGTTGACCCTCGTGCTATTGATGCGGCGGTGACATGTTTCACGAATACAGGCAAAGGTTTACAAGCCGCGTGAAACACCATCGATGTACGCCATGATTCAAGCGATAGGTATGAGAAGGTGGCGTGTAGGCAGTAGCCTTGATCCGGAGCAATCACGACGGTGTTCGGTTCATCGAGGTTCCATTCTGGCGCAGTTTCATCACTTGCTGCTAGTTATTAGCTACTGAAGCGGAGTGGCGTTACATGCCTTACATGTTCGAGTGGTCAAGGAATATTCTAGTCCCAACTATCGACCTTCGCCAAGGACATGGACGTGGGCTCAATGTAGGTCGTGGTCGTTAACAGCGGCCGAATTCATACGGGTCTGGGCGTGTGACCGGCAGCATATCCCATATCGGTACAGTACAGCATCAGACATGCTTGAGCTGGCGCCTCACATACATACCTGCGACATGAATAATCCCGCTTTTCATCTCGCGTAACAACCTGGGGGCAGGATGCGTTTGTACAGGAAGAAGATAACTTACCTAGCACATGTACAGTACATAGGACAGACAAATGTCTCGACTTCATCTTTTATCGGCAGATACGGCGTGGCACAACACGGGTAGCCAGATTAAGCACGTCAAGGTTACCACCTGACTCGTTATCCACGATGTATTCTATCTTTGTTAGTACAGTGAAGATGCCCGCGGTTAACTAACTTGGGATGCACTTATTCTAATGTCTTGGATGGAAGAGCTGCTCGGGTTGCTACAGTCATGCAGTTGTCTTGTTTGGACGAAGCCCATGGGTAGAACAGGTATTTATGGAATTTTCGGCTTGTCTTGTCACTTGCATGCTTCTGGTTGGTGTCAAATGTTAAAGCATAGTTGTGAGGGTGGCTACTAAAAATGAGGTCTGTTGATATGTCTGGATTCTATTTCTACTCGCTTAAGCGACACATTCAAACCACATTCTGGTGGGTGGCCGAGAAAATACGTTATTGTGAAGAAATGTTGATGGACTGGAGGGCCCAACGTTGACTCAACGACCACACCTCAAAGCACCAAAATATGGCCTGCGGTCAAGTCGGCGTAACGCAAGAGGCAGTTTCTTCGTAGACGAGGTCGCTAGATAGCGTGAAGAGGCCGTTTAAAAACACGCATGGTCGGAAAACACATACAGTATATTTCTTCAACAGCCGTGCAATCTCGGGGTTTATTATTGTTCAACAGTTGCAAAATGAGGAGGCTGGTAACGACCTCGACCATTTTTCATCGTCACTACGGTCACCATAGAATCAACGTAGCGGTTTTTCCTTCCGGCTTCTTTTTTCTTGGTCCCTCAGATTTCACGTCGAATGATGAGCAAAAGGTACTACGAAAAATACAAAAATCAGCCAAAGACATTAATTGATGGTTACAAATTGACATGTTGAAAGTAGATGTTCAACAGTGTCTTTAAGATGTGTCGGGTCATCAGATTGCTTTGAACGATTTATGCCACCTTTGTAACAGCGTTGAACTAACTGTTTGACTCTGGACAGGCTATAAGAGACCAGTGCCAGGTGGAAAGTATACTTTTGGACGCTGAATATTTGCAAGTGGAAACGATGGATGCCCCAGAACAACTTCCCGACCAACATAGGGGAGACCGCCAGCCGAGTGAAATGCCTATGCAGGGTGATGAGGCCTATCCACAGGCTGTTTCCGATTCCGAACCCCCAGTGGTAAGCTAGATGCAATGACACGTTCTATACTGTGGCTGATCACTAAGTTCTCTCGTAGCAGCAGGAAGCAAGCCCAAAGAAACCCCTGGCGATCGAGCAGTTTCAACTCATATTGGAGACACTGGCAGATCTCGACCGCGATGATCCGAAACTCGCCTTTCAAGCGGCTCGAACCGTGGGACTCTATCGACGTCTATGGACCTCGTGTGTGCCGAAACACCTCGAAGGCGAGATACCAGACGAAAATGACAAAACTTCGAAGGAAGCTACCACCAAGTTGAGCAACGAGCGAGACGGGCTCCAGCTTCGTCCCGATGAGCAGCTATCTCGTCTGTATTCCTTTGAACAGGCTTTGGAACTGACCCAAGAACGACTGATCGGCGTTCTCAAAGACTGGAATCAATGCTCGAGAAGTGATCTGGTCCTGTTGATGGATATCAAAAGACGCGCGTGAGGGGTTGCCAGCGGAAGAGTGCCATGTCGTATGTGACAGCCAAGGAATATATCGATCAATGCTAGAAATCGTGGAAATCAAAAATTCCCTATTCGAATGTAGTTTCAACTTTGAGTATGTCTTGAATTATTGTGTAGAGTAGACTTTGAATATGTGTTGCTATTGAAAAGTCTCAGAGGTGTCACCAAGCACTTCGAAGACAGTCACGCTGCATTCACCTATAATTTACCAGGAGATTATACAAAATGACGGATCCAGAGATGGCATCACGGGTAGTGTTGCTAGCGGGGAAAGGGTCGAGTGACCGGAATACGGCAGAGGTTCCATTCGCGGCCACAAAGACAATCGGAAACACGGGGCTGTGGCTCCAAAAGCAGTTCGGGAGATGATGTCCAGCATCTGCTCACGCATCCGGTGCAAGTTTCCCATCATGGTTTCAATCCTTGGCAGGAAGAATATATGCTCTCCCACTGTCTCGCCGGTTGATTGATCAAATCGTGCGAGTCGGAATTCTACCCAATACACCTCCTCGAGAAGAAAGAACGCTGACATGTAAAGAAAGAGGTCATCAGCTAGAGTAAAGATAGAGAGAGGATCTGGACCGGTCCACTTGAAGCCCGACTGGTCCTCGTAGTTGCTGTGGAAGAAGCATTCGACCGAGAGCGGTCCTTGAACCTCAGGTTCTCCAGGCTCCGCTCCAATTGGAAAATCTAGCCTAACATCGTCGTTATTTGCCGAAAGAGATGGGGCCGACGCCGGTATAGAACAAGACTCTCGCCGGATTTCGTGAATGTTGAGATCGAAGTCGTTATCTAGTCTGTTGTGAGCACAGAACGACCGTATATTCCAGTGGTACGAACCATTTTGACCAAATTCCGACATCTCATTCGACTTGCTGCCAGCGCTGCTGTAGGGAAGTGACAGCAGTGTTTGAACTGGTGGTACAAGGCTAGCTGGAGGTTTAGATATACTGCCGGAAGCCGATAATTATTTTCAATACGGCAGAGAGAGAAAAGGCATACCACATATTAACTATTCATAGAAAGAGAAACAGGCAATGTACTAAATAGCGTAAAGGGCTGGTACCCCGTCACCGATCAACGAAATATCACCGTTGGTCGTATGGCCGCCTCACCGAGTCTCCACGTTGAGATTCCCCCGTCTACCTTCCCACAACACCAGCACCTATTTACCGAAGCATTGCAGAGCGATGTTGTCCCAACCTAGCAACTGTCGTTTGGCTCTTGAAGCTGTTGTTGAGCTTCCTTGGTCGTAGATCTTCGGCAAGTTTGGCGACAAAGCACTCCGATAGGCACAGACAACGGTCGAGAAGCTGAAATATTGTCACGGTGGCAGGGTGCTGTACCGTATTATTTGCACGAGCTTTATTGCAAGGAGACAAGTTGGGATGATGGGAGTCTATTGAAACTACTTAGTTTCGTTCACTTGTTATCGGGAAGAATCTGACCTTGAATTTTATTCATGCCCAAATTCATGGTTGCTAAGGCTTAAATTCAGGAACGGGACTACTAGGTGCTGGAAACCTGAGCGGGAATCCATCAAATGATAGCTGTCCTCGAAACCCTGGATCATAGTAGGGGCTCGTCTGGTCAAGGGTAGCAACATAGCGGTTACGACCACCGTGTGTCGTATGTGTCTTCGTACAATGGACCTTGAGGTTGTCACGGCGTGAAAAGGCTCGGTGGCATCCAGGCACCCAACAGACATGGGGCTTTTCCTTCGAGTGGCTTCTTGTATGACGCTCGAGGTGGTCCTGACGCTTGAAACCCTTTCTGCAGCCAATGATTGGGCAATTGAGTTTTCGCTTGTGCATATCAAATTCCGGGTCCTCCACATCCAAGTCACGACCAGGCTGTTTGCGAAGGACGTGACAGTCAAGCAGTGACGGGTCGTTCATACAAACATCGGTATCATGAACTATTTCGGCATTCTCTTGTGGCGGGTCAAGTAATCGAGTAGAGGAGATACCAGTATCAGAGGTGATGGGGCAGACTTCAGCAGCCGCGACAGGAATTCCTGTACAACTGAAGGACTCGGGAATAGATTTCGAAGCATTTGGAAAGACCAGAGCAGGGTTGATAGTCTGCATTGTCGAAAAATCAGTCCCTGGCGTCCGTTCAACTGTATTGGACATTGGCTCCGACTCAATTCGTCTCATCAGACACAGTCTCAGTGGTGGCATACAAAGTACGGAGGCCGCCTCAAGCGGATAGTCTGCTTCATGAGAGTGATGGAGGCTGGGAATGGCATGGTCCCTTGGCGGCATCCGTGTATGATATTTGAAAACCGGGGGACAGTAGTAGAATTGGATGACCTCATGCTCTGCCCAGTATTCACGTTGCAGAGATGTAGCATCAATGCGAATATCCCTCCATATGCTGGGGCCAGGGTCGGGCCAGCTTGGAAGGACGTGTGAGTCCATATGATGGAGAGGAGTGGTAGCTGGAGTCGGCGGCATGATACTTGAGAGATGCGGGTCATCATGATGAACATGAAGCTCCGGTAAAGGCTGAGCTGGCAATAGCGGGCGAAAAAACTTCCTATGTTCAGAAGACATATTTCCGGCTCAAGGAGCGTGTAGAACAACTGGCACTGCTTGCAAATATATTGACGACAGGAAAAGCTTTGAGGCTTAGTTTCCAGAGAAAACAGGACACCGATCACCATGGGCGTGCAAAGAACGGCGAATATGAATGAATTGCTCGGCATTGGCCATTTCCTTGACAACCAATGATGCGAGTGGGAAAGATGCAAAAAAGTGCGTCAATACCGGCTATCTTTATGATGCCCCTGATGCAAATGTTGTCAACAGCATTTCAAGGATCCTCTTACAACAAGAGTCGGCCCCAACATTCTCAACATTCTAAACAGATTTGAGCACACGATAATTATACTGCGTGGGATGCTTTCACATTTCCCGCTAGCTTCGTTGACTTCGGTGATGATCGTTGAGCCCTCCAATGACGATCATTTCTACTCTTAGTTCGCCTTCTAGGAACACCATAATGAGCTTTTTATTCCTAATCTGCGTAAATATCCTTCTGTCAATATTGATGGAAGTATTTTGTATACATGATGAAAGGTTGTAAAGTGCCTAATGTTGGATGCACCGAGGCCCCCATAGATTGTTTAACGCTATATATCTCTACATACAGATAACAACAGGGCTTGGCTCTTTGTTTCCAAAGGAGACAGGTTCAGGAAGGTCACATATCTATAACTCCGTCATAAAGTTCCGTGAACATCCGCACATTGCACGGTCCTTGTCCATCACCAAGCCCAACTAACGGCACCAAACGGTGGTCAATATAGACCCTTTTTCTAAGCTACGAAGAGCAATGGGTAATTGGTATAATAACGTCATCTTTATCATGACGGTAGACTCACAAAGTAATACTAGCGAAGAAGATATGCCACAAAATTACCCATAGCGTATTTTGATTCTGATCTCTAGAGCATGGAAGTTGGAAATTTCAAATTTCATCATGGTCGATAGCCATAACGAATAGCTAGGTGAAATGCCTCCGCATTTTGTACGCGTGCGTGAGACCAATGAAGATTAGGCTGCGGTGCATCAAGCACTTTTCGGGTTGACGTTGTACTCGCCTTCTGTTTGCGCAGGGAGGTCAGATAAGGAAAGCGTATCATAGGGTCGAAGTTGATGAGAATCAGCATATGGTGATGGGGGGGCAATCCTTCTGCAGAGGTAGAGTATATGAGCGACCGCTCGTCACAAACAGCCCGAACAAGACTGGTGGACGAGTCTGGACATAGTAGGGCCAGTAGCTCCGAGGGAGCATCTTCGGAAGGCCATAAGCAAACACCACGAGAGTCGAAATGCTCCACGCCCCCTTCGTCAATTGCACAGCTACATCCCCGTGATTTCGTTCGAAGTCGCAAGCGGTGCTGAGAGCGCACCCCATCTACTTGCAACTTAGGGTCATCGACAAGGTCAACGTAGGTCGCCGCGGCCAGGTGGTAGCTGCTGTGCCTGGTATATGCCGGAATGAAGTCGAAGCGTTGGTCCAGAGGACGGCTAATCTCATGCTCAGCGTGGCAATCGCGAACCGGTCGTTTTCCTGGGAGCTGGCTATGAGCTTCACCTGAGTCCACCATATCAGTGGGCCGGGTAAACCCCTTTGTATGCATTGCCAGGGCCTCGTCTGGCGTGGGAAGGGGTGTGGTGTAGTAGGTACGATGGTTTTCGCTTCCACCGTCAAGCCATTCACGGCGGCATTCAAGAATGACCGGTCGGCCCTTTTCCTGGTCCACTTGTATAGAGAGGTCAGCCCACATTTCGTTGATAGGGCCCTCACGATGCTCACGGCGCCAAAGACGTCCATTGCCCAGGTTGTTTTCATGATCTGGGGAGTAGCATGACCAGTGGTAGAAGGAAGACTCTTGCTGGTCTATTATGGACACCACATAAAGATGCCCCTGGTAGATCTCAAAGCATACTCTCTTGCCAAGCTCGCCATCGACAAGAACTTCTACGGAAAACTCAGTTCGTTGGAGCGTTTTGAAGTGCATGCCCCGCAATACCAATGCACTCTGTCGGCCATTGACGGCCGTGAACGTGCCAAACCAGATATACAGACGGGTATGGCGGACAACAATTGGATCCGAGGAGGACACTGGTTCTTGGAGAAGCAAACGGCTCTTTCGAGCCTGGTCTGGGCGGGGCTGTAAATCAATCGCGACCAGATCAGCAACATTTGAATTGGCTTGGCTGAACAGAAGGATCAGGATCCCGCAACTGAACCATAGAAGGGTAGTTTGTTCTCCCACGTCCGAGAGAATGTATTCAATTCCGATGTCGTAACTGTTCATATGGTCGAGGTCCAAAACAAGCTCTTTTTGGCCTGTATTGTGTACATTCAGCAAACGAATTTGGTTTTTGACTCGATAGCACAGAAAGCCTTGGTGGTATAAGAAGTCTGCGGCATAAGCCAGCACTGAAACAGAATATGGGGACGCAGTAGCAACCGCCTCATGAACATCAAACCGATGTCTGATGACCTGATAATAGCCAGTCTTAGTGGCCCAAGCTGCTTGTCCTTCTTTGCTGCCAAGCAGAATGTTCTAAGATAAGTTTCAGCATGGTGTGTTGGTCCATAGCGGGTAGAAAGCTTTCGTTTCCTCATTCGTTGTTGCTCACCTTGACAGTAGCCCGTGCAATGATGGTATCTTTCATTGAGCTAAAAATTGAGCGGCTCGAGTGACTGAGGTGTATGTAGTCTCGAATGTCAAGGTAGGCTGCTATTTGAAAGAGAACGTCGAAAGGTAAGGACTCCAAGGTAGGTGATGACGACATATTCATCGACAGAGCCAGAGATTGAGGGCAAAATTGGAAGGGCGCAGTATATGATGGTAAAAACATTCAGACACCAAGTGGCAAAATGAAACTCTAGATTTGTTTAGTCAAGGGACCTAGCCCTGAGGTAGGGCTCCCGTGGTGCCAAGCTGGCCATCGAGCCCCTGAAATTTCATCGGCCAATGGTATCTCTATCTTACCTGCTGATGTTGATTGACCAACGAGGATTGTAGCGGCGCCGATCCATTCCTCTTTACGATATGGATGTTCCCAGAACCCAAAGTGCTGCCAGGCAGCGCTATTCGACGGCACTAGAGGTATATCATTGAACAGGGATTCGGGCCAGACAAAAACAAGTGGGAGGCTTTGAACTATTGAATACATATGCAGAAACAGCCACTAATGAATCCAATCGTACTTGACCCTGGTCTTTCTGTAATAAATAAATATGCATTCAAGGTAAGCCTGACAATATTGTGGGGGCCTAATGAGCATGTATGCCAACTTTCCATGTTATTACAATCATCTCAATGCCTTTTTGGTCAATGCAGGCTCAACTAGGACTAGACATCAGGCCCCATCTTGGAGCGCGGGAATACTAGCCTGCTTGTACGATACTCAAATCAATGGTGGAGCTTACGTTGATTCCTGCAAACATAAACCTGGATTATGTCTCAGATATCCAGGTACGTACGAGGGTGACATAGTAACGATGTGCTATGTATGGGATCTATTCCGCAGCTTTTGCTTGTATAGATAGAGTACCTCAAGTATTCACCTTTCGATATCTGCCATCTGTCCCACAAACGATCAAGACCATGGTGTCCAAATTCATAAGCGCTTCGCCATATAGCCTTGCATGATGCTCTACAACTGCAGGGACTAGTTGTTTCCGAGATAATCCGAATCAGATAGCGGCCGATCTCATCGGAACTTCGATTTGACTGGCTCAATATGTATTCGCTTTCTAGAGTATATCTCTTGATCAAGTAACAAGCCCAGGTCGGTGCGATAGGCGGGCCGGCTGGTGACAGTAAGTGTAGAGACATCGTCAGGAGAAAGCTAGGTTCAAACTCCTGTCGGGCTTGAAAGGTCGTTCGAGGATGAAAGTGTATGAGGTGTGGAAGGGGGTTCGTGCTGGAGCACAGGTCGCAGGTATTTTGGCCGATGGTTCGCTTTTGAACTGATTTCCTGTGGTCTAAGTCAGTATTGTAGTTCATGAAAGCATCCAACACTTTGGTAATTCCAACTGCTCTCTCTCGGGCCTAGCTAAAAGGAGTATGTTCAAGCCCGCCTCAGTCACTTCTCTCTTTTTGGCGCTTGTGTAGTATATTATTCTTTCAACGTCTCCGATCCTCAGCACGTAGCATTGTCTCATAGCTTTCGGGATCGGGGTTGTGCTAGAATGAAGTTGGGCCCTAGCGATATTTGGGACGAAGGTGATGGCGTGGATGGCGTTGCCAAAAAGGAACTATACGGTTTTTTCGGAGACGAAAAGGTAGGCTTAGAAGCTATTCTCATGGAATCTATCGCCTATTGCAGGGATTCTAGACGATAGACATATTGAAGCGTAAGGTCTGTACCGGGCCACTGGAGGGGCCTTTGTAGCCGGATGAGAGATCGTCTTGGGCGCCCATGTTGATCTGTTGTGAAGGCCCTTCAGCGGACGCATGAATGACCTCAAGTATTAGCAAGCGAAGAAAGTCTGACCAAAGCTGTCTCTCAATATGAGGCATATATGATGGTGGATAAGAAAAGCAATTGTTCCGCTATAGGCGAGGAATCTGGGCCTCTTCTATTATTGAGGGAGGGAGGATTGATTCGGTGAGGTCCAATTTCCTGAAAAATAGAAGAAAAAAAATAAATTGCAACATAGGCATTCAATGTTTCCATTGGCAGGAGGACTGATGGTGATACGAGACAAGCAGGAGCAGGATAGTTGGGTGCGCCAGGGCAGGGTGGCGAGCAGGTGACCCAAGTGTGCCTTACCCAAAACGGACAGTCAGTGATACATTTCTCCTTTCCCTAAGCCTTCCTCGCATTCCCAGGATCCAGCAACAACACATGCAAACTCAAACGAATCAAGACCTTTAATTTCTTTGAAGAGCTCACATGCATAACTGAAAACTTGATTTGACACCTTCCGAGCAACGAACGTCCCCGAAATGCTACGCAAGGGAAGAACTTTGGAGATCCTTTCAAGTTACTACTGCTTGCTTGTACAGCCAACGAATGCAGTACTGGTAGAAGGATTGCTGTTGGAGAGCAAGTCAAGAGAGGTCTCTCTTGATTGAAGATGTGTCCGAACTCTCAATGGACGTCCGCTTCCTATTCTTCATCGAGACTTAGTTCTCCTTTTCATCTTCTCACTTCCGCTCAGTTGCTGCAGACTAACTCACATATTTCTAGAGCTAGCTGGCCTCCTTCTCTGTATACGAAGAGTTGGCTTCCTACCCGATTGTCAAACAAGCACGAGACGGCGTTTTCAACGAGCGCCAGATAAACTCGCACGCTGTGCAAGGAAGCCTTCACGCAAACCAGTCTGTTGAATCCCACATTGCCTATCCACAGTGAAAAACACCAGCTAAACATCTTGACATTCTAGAGGGGTGTTTACGTGAACGAGTCGGTCCGATATAGTGTACCGCGCACTATGCGAATGAGAAGCGGCGAACGATGAAACTGAGAACCAAGCATATCCCGTGCACCAAGCATACTCTTGCTATCGAATGTTCAAAACAGTTTTGGGGTTGTGACGTGTACATGAGGCCTTCAAATGTACCCCTGCACCCCCAATATTGGAGGCTGTCACGATAGAGCCAGTAAGCACGAAGCATACTATTGGACCCAGGGTTGTTGGACTTAACAATATACATTCTGTGCCTCAAAAAGGAGTTATGACACTGGAAAGAGCATACGGGTGCAAATCTCTGGAACAGTGACTTGGAACTCTGGCTAGGAAAGGGACAGTAGCGGTAATGTCTCCAATACGGTCAGAACAGCACTTAAAACCTTGAATGTGTGACATAGAACAGAATATTCAGAAGATATTTATACAAAGCGGGCAGAAAATGGCATGGAAAGAGCAAAATACTATTCGCAACCTCTGGGAGAATCATATCATTCGCCTTGCTCATCATGGTTGCCTGGGCTAAGTCTTTCTATCCATCTACCAATGTCAAAATAGACCCGTTTATTCTGGAATAAATGGTACTCCTCCGCATATGTCTGTATATATTTCAACAACTCGAGCGCCTGATCCCTGATAAGAAAGCCTCGCATGGGGCCTGAAGCAGTGAAGCATTCCGTGAGAATGAGATTTAGGTTTTCGAAAGGAACAATAGCCTGAGCCACAGTGCTTGATAAAACAGGAATGAGTGTTGCGTCAGCACCTTTGATTTCTGATATCCAACCATCGATTGTCTCAAGTTCCAGATTCAATACACGGAAGCTCCTAGCGATCTCGCGCAACACCTTGATTGATTGTAAAACCTGAACCTTCAAGGCTTCCTGAACAGCCTGTGCTGGACACTTAGCAGTGCCCTCTTGTTGATCTGTAGGTTGATCAGGCGACCGAGAGGATGGGCCCTGCGTGGCTGAATCGTATCTCGGCGCTGGCGGTGTTTTCGCTGTGCTGTAAAAGTCCATTTAGCCATTGCAAGGAACGCCGGTTCGGAAATACAGTTATGCAAACCTCATTTTATCAATGATAACTGGTTGATTGGTCGTGTCAGCAGCCTCACATACCGCTGGACGCGCCTTTTTGGTTGTCCTTTGAACCTGTTCGTGGTCCGACTGTCTTCGGCGCTTCGAGTGTATCCCTCGCCCCAATTCACGGAGCTGGGTGTGTTGTTCCTCTTTATGAGCCTCATTTGGAGGTACTGTGGGCGCTGGTATATCCGGCGGTCGAGGTCTTATTTCTCGATATCCGAAATTTGGCCGGCGAGGTTGAGTGATGGTCGAAGGTGCAGCTGCTGTCACCCAGTTTTCTGCTTGTTGAAATCCCCAAACATAACCACTTGCTGGGTCAATGACAGAAAATGAGTCCATTAATGGAGTGTATGTTTCGCCATAGGGGTAGTCTGTCAGGGCTCCCATTAACGGGAAGCTTGTGTTGACGTTTGATGGATTTTCGTCATGGTACATTCTGCCACAGCAATGAGTTGGGTGAGGATCTTGAAATTTCAGGTAGCTCACGGGGTTGGTTTACCTGGAAGAAACTTTAGTTGGACGAGTAGGAAGAAGTTTGTGTCCTGCATTCAGGCCAAAGAGCATGCGCGGATCGGAAGGCGTGATCTGTATTCCTGTGCGTGAGGCTGGTTCTCCCTCCTGGCGAGAACCACACTAAATGCGCCACTCTCGAGTAGATAATTTAGTAACCAGACTTGCAAGGGGTCAGTGGATCAGAGGATAGGCGCTCTTGCCTCAAATAGGTGTTCCGATGTGACGCCGGACCGACCCCAAGTTTTCTGGTCTGAACCTTCTCTTCGCCTACATCCTTAGCCTATGAAAGCCGGCCCATACTGTGGCCGATCCCTTTATAAACTGGCAAAGTGGTAGGCTCACCATCATTACGGTTGAAGTCCGTCATACGTAATGAACGCTAGACATAGGCAGACTATTTCCTTCACCTTCCACACTCTGCCGAAATCTTTTCTTTGGTACTTACGCTATTGGCAGTGTCTAGCCGATTATACTGCTCCTTCCTTTGGGACAGGCGGAGCATGACTTGGCCATCATTGGCCACGGGACCTTGATACCCAGAAGGCCCGTGGACTTTGGCCTTCGTCCTCTTACCCTATCGGTCATGTTGGCCGGGCGCCCCGAGTGGCTATCACTTTCGCTGCAGGCCCACACCGCAATTTTACAGAACATTCCATAGCAGTGTTATTACAGTGTATACGCCAGTTATGTGAGTGTTAAATTGGTACAAGAGGCGGCCGGCCTCCTTTCATCTCCACCGTCATCACATATCTTCCTCTCATCAGTCTCATCACTATCTACTCAGAACATTCTGGCCTTTGACTCAAAAATTTCTTATCATGACTATCACATACAAGAAAGCAGAGATAACTCTTCGAGATGATCAACCCTCCCATCAGGAATTACGGGTACCTGGGGAGGGGACGGCGCAATCGCAGGTAAATGAGGACAACAAGGTATGTTTCTGCTAAACTATTCTTGCTCGTAATGTATAGCTATTTCTTATTGATGATATCAATAGCCTACTTCTCCAGGCTTCGAAAGTAACCGGAACGGCGAACAAAATATCAACCCAGGTACTTCCACAACCCACCATGAATGCTTTCACCGAACGTGTCTCATGATTACAAAATTTTATAGGCCGTACCACCATACACACTGTATCCAATCTGGTTGTCGATGGTGGATCAGTGATGAACGGGAGAATTGCAGAGATTGGGGACAAGTCTAGACAACGGCCGAAGCAGAACAACCGGCGTCCGGTTGTGGTGGAATCTGGTTCGCTTGACCACAATGTTTGCACCGTATGATACTATTTCCTGTGATTAATCACATGGCTCGACAGGTTGCTCACTTCTTGCTGTAGGTCGGAAGTATGCGAAAAGGCGCAGAAGATCCAGCCTCCTTTCGCCAGATTAACCACGTCAATATTAGCCCAGGTGCTAAGTTTGCGAGCCGCGACATGAGTATAGGCGAGTTCTTGGAATACTTCTGCGGGAGAAAGACTTGATATGGGTAGTTCACAGCATTAAGCTCTGTGGCGACTTCTACCTATCGGATACTCCCGCATTTCGCTGCGAGGCACAAGTCAGGGTTGATGACTTTCCTATGTAGTAGTGGAGAGTCATCTAGAATTCAGCGCAGTTGCTGGAGCAGGTTAGATTGATTTGAAAGGGGGTGAGGACCACAAGCGATATGAGACCGTTAGAGTGAGATTGATGTTGTGATCGGCAGGTCATCTGTACTATCTATGTGAAGCGAACTCCTCCAACCCCTGTAAACAGCTCAATAAAGATTCTCATGAAACGGTGGCTGCAATCCAATAAACCAGGATTTCTCTTCTATTCCGGTTCATAAAGGCCATACTCAATAAGCTATGGCCCATGTGAAATGTCGAAAGAGGAAGTTATCGGACGCAAGGGGGCGAAGGCTTCTGGCGTTGGAACATTCCATATAGGGTATGGTTCAGATTTCCTACCCCCGCCCAGAGAGCTAATCAAAACCGGATATGAGGTCAAACATCTGGGATTTGGGTTCAATACGTCAATCTGGCCAACCGTAAGCCGTCTTCTCCATATGGGTACGAATCTGGGTCCAGGGAGACCGAGATGGTCTCAGCGTGAGTATGATACGTCGCGCGTGCGAGCGTCAAAGGCGATTTTGGTAAAACAGGGTCATTTTTTTAATTCGCAAATTGAACGGTGTTTTTGATTGATTGTTCAATTAACCATACACTGAGAATTTTTCAGATACCCTCCAATGGCTCTGGTTATTATTTCATACCAGGGGACAAGTGAGCTCAGCCGTACAAATCAGTGGCAATACATGTTCCCTATTTCTGCTTTTTCGATCGGCTTATCGGAAATAAGCCCAAATTCTGTCACTGCATCCTCGCCTCCGTCCATCTCCATCACATCGGTATACGTCCTGTTTTTCATCACAGCCTTCTTCGCCCCATTAGACATCAATTCTACTTCCAAGGTATCAATGAATGGGGTTTCGACTCCCTTAACGAAAGTGTAATTGATGGACCATACTTTGATGACTTGAGACTGGGCAGCATCCGCCTCTCCGGCCCTGGAAAACTCCATGCTTTTTTCCAAATCCGGAGGTTCACTGACAATGGTGCATTCACTGTGTAGATTCATTATTGTCTGTGCACAAGGGGTCTCTGTTATTGTGACATTTGTCTCCCCATCGAGGGAGGGCCCCCTGGCATTTATGATGACATTTGTTCTCTGTGACTAGGTTCAGAATGCGCCAGGTCAGAACGGAACACCCTTCTTTCATACCTTTGGGATACCGAGACACTGGAGGAATCGTAAGATATGCATGGCAGAAGGGATTCCGGAAGATTGGCCGAAAGATAGAACGTCTACCTCAGCATGTGTAAACAGAACATCAAGATATAATTGCGACCGGAGCAGTGAGTACGGATAATGGAAAGGGAAGCGATGATTGATGTTTTGCACTCAGTGGTAACTCACTAGCCAGATGTGCTGACATTAAATTCCATCTGAGTGTCTAGAGCTCAGGTCGAATTCCTGCGGCGCGTTCTGATCTATACTGCTTCTGGATAGCTATGTGACAGCCCCGTGAACCTACTTACTCTAGTCCCGCGCGGTCGTTTATCTCCAGCAAACATCATGCCCCCAGCTACCGCGGACAGGCTTCTAACAGACTTGTCAATACAGCTGGATTTGTTCATTCGCTTTCTCAAGCTCGACTTGACCTCTGTCATCTAAGAGGGGGACTTGGTACAAGGGGAAAGACGGCGGGCTACCGAGCTGATGGCAATGGGGAAGAACACCCAATGCTGGATACAGCGGCTCCAAGATGTCCAGCAATGGACCAACTTAGCTTTGTGGGAGCAAGACTAGCTTCAACGGACTGGACGCAATGAACCTACGCCGTGCTCAGGGCCCCATCGCTTCGGAACTATGGCTTCATTTATTCAAGAAGAAGGATTATTGGACAATGAAAACACCAAAAAATCAATCCAACATGGACGCAGGCTGATGCGGTTTGAACGTGAATTTGGGCATGAAATTACGCTCCTTCGGTTACCCGTCCTTCCCGCCTTGCGTTGTCTATCCTTGTCCGAAGAAGCCCGAACAATGGAAATGCTGCGAGACGGTGACTTTTCATACGTCACGCATCGAGCACAACTTCTAACTCGCCTGAGGCTCAACTATCAATGCATCCATGGAATCTATCCCGGTAAGCTACACGAAGAATCTGCCTATATCCTCTAGCTAAAGTATTCTCGGCAGAGATGGGCTGTTCAGCACATGCAGATTCAACAAGCAACTCGATAGCCCCCACTAGATTCTCATAAAGGCAAAAGCTTCAGGGGCTGACGGATCCATCCCCCACGGATCCTCGGAAAATCCTTGGCACACAAGAAATGCCCCAGCAGGCAGCGAAATCTCCATCTTGACTCCGCCTCGCACGAAGAGTACCTCGTCCGATCGCAAATTGAAAGATCTCGATGTTCCTCTTTCGTACTTGCATACTTTCCCCGTAATATGCAGTCTGGATTGCCCACTATCAAAGCTCTAGATTTGCTCAATAGATTACCATCGTAAGTCGAGACCAAGAGTCTGTTTGAATTATCAGCTGCTTGGAGTGGATTTTGTTTGATTTTAAATGTGATTGGTGATAGTTGATTAGAGGAAAGATTAGGTAAGAAAATTATACATTCCGTAGAACAGATTATCCAGACCTCGACTGGATGCCCCTTTGCCTTTCTTGACAGTAGAGCAGTATTGTAGTCTTGTTTCGCCCCAAGTGACATTTTTTTTTTCGGTATGATTTAGAAGATTGGAGGGTGTTATCGGGGAGCCAATTTATAAAAAGCAAAGATTCTGACCAAAAAAAAGAAACAAGAATAATGCGTACAATCATTCGAGAGGCTCGAAGGAATTTGCGAAGCTTCGTTCCCACATGGTGTTTACCAGCCTCATGGTTATGACAATCACAATCAACATGACTCGTTGCCCACAAATGGCGAAGTCGAGGATCAAACGTCGAAGAAACTTCCAATTTCCGATCAAACCCGCCTTAATGATTTGAAGGAGTAATTTGGCCTTGAGTTGGAGCGTGTACTGGGTCACCGGGTTCTCCGCCTGCCAAATCATTATTCGACCAGGTGTCATCATTTCCATTTCCAGCATGGAGAATGAAACCAAAGCGGAAGTATTCCCATAAAAAACAGGACATAGATGCAGTATTCCTTTTTGAGTTTTACTGCCAACTCGCAAGCCGTCGGCTCCAGATAGAGGCACCAAAAGATTCATTCGTATTTGCAATAATTCCTTCTGCTTGGGGGGCCGTATGATTTATATCAAAGTATCGATATATACGAGTTAAATGGCCCATGCAGCAAGCCAATGCACCGACAAGGGAGCACATTACTTGAACTGTATTTCGCGTACGCTGACAGGAAGACCGAAATGACGGGTAGGCTTCCATACGTCGCGAGAGCCATTCCTGAAATGAGTCCATCCAGCACTCTTGCACCTTGTGTTCCATAGTCTCAATGTAATGCAGGGAGCTCAAAGAAGGGGCACTGGTGGGGCACTGGTATCACCGTTGGATTGGTGATCCCCGGTTTGTTACTTTCTGCTGCATGGTGAGAGATGAGCTTCAAATTCCCGATGAGCATATGATCGGCGCAGATTTCTGCGGAAGACATCTGAGGTTTAAGCCTCTCAGTCCAACTAATCATCGCATCGACGAATCGATCAGGGGTAAAGCGCAAGTAGCTTTTGTCACACGCCGGTTTTTTGCCGCCTTCATGACCACGGGCTATGTGCAATATGCATACCCAAGTGGGACTGCTGGGGGTATGTTTGGTGTACTGTGCCCCGGTGTTTTTTTGGTACAGTGAGCATTGGAGCAAAGTCTTCTGCGGATGGACTAAGACCTTCTATATGTCGGGCCCATCCAGTAAAGCCACGGTCCACATATAGAATCCATTACTGCCCTAACCCGAGAAAATTCTTTTTTTTGTTTTTTTTTTTAATCCAAAAAAAAAAAGAATTAGTCCAATCTTATCCGCGCGGACAATATTGGACTAATTTGGAGTGGCGTCCGCTTTGACCTGCTCTGACCTTGTGGAGAGTCAAATGTGTTTGGCCAATAATTGAGAGACCAGCCTCCTGTATCGGCGTTTGCATAACAAATAGGACAATAATTCCCTGTGCCTGGGATCTTGGGTGGTCTCCGTAGCTCATCATTAACTGTCAGCTGCCTGTTTCGAACATTTTTCTACTAGGAATGTATTCAAAACAAGAAATTTCTTATTATCTGCGTTAAATCCAGTTGTAACAAAAACGGGGGGGGGGGTTCGTCCTTCGGGATGATGTGGCAGAGGACGTCAGCACTAACCGGATTGAGAGCCACCCATCTGAATGCAGTCGGCATATTTGAGCCCCATGCTAGTCTTGAGCGAAAGTAGGAGACCCTGGACTAGGCACCGTATTTATAATCTTACTTCATCGGATCCAACGAAATCCCTGGGCCGCTGCGTCTGATCTTTCGGGTCTTCGATGCCGATTTTCCACCACATTTCCACCACAGAAAGCAATACACCGGGGATCACTAATCTAACGATAATACTAGTGTCCCTTTTTGAGCCCCCTCGTTAAATGGAGAAATTGGATTACAGGGTACTATGCAAGAGTCCTGGTTTGACTGATTTCAGGAATGCCTCTCGCGATGACATAGCTAGCCGCACGCTCAGGCAGACTCCGATAGGTACAAGAACCATCAATTACTCAATGATATGAATTTACCTTATACTCCGAAGGTTCGTGTTCACCATTCTCCCGAGATAACGTCTGAAATCATGTAAAAGCAAGCAAGACTAAGAACCGAGACAAGTAGAATTATCGCTTAGCCTAATATGGAGTAAAAAAATGCACGATAAAGGCTCACATGATAGTTTCCAAGGCCGTAGCCGAGCGCACACCCCCTTTGTATGCGCTCATTAAAGGTTCAATATCCAGGAATTTTAAAGCCATGTAAAGTTCCACCCGTGTAGGATTTCACCTGGGTGAAATCTACAAGCACGTCTTCCCACACTTCCTCCCATTTGGCTTGAAATATCCTATGGTAACTCCCTTGTAAAGGCTCTATTTTAAGTTGAGCCCGGGAAGGAATGTGGGATTAACAGGCTAGATCCCTTTGTTTGGAGTCAAGTGGAGTACATAATTGCCTCGCCATAATACGCGAACTAGATTGGTATTGGATTGCACAGGATTCAACAACAGGGCTATACCTATTACAAATAAATTCTTTGATGGTTCCCTGATATATATTTCGCCCGATCTTCATGATAACATGTAGAATTTGAACATCTCTTATTCTTCCTAGGTGTGTTGGTCACTTTTAAGACTCAAACATTAGACTAATTCTACCTAGATAATTGAAATGGGCGACAAGCTAGTGTGCTGTGGGGAGGAAGGGCCGACTCGGTGCGGGTTGGATGCCGGGACAAGATTCCATGGCGACGTGTCACCTAGGCACGTTGTGATCCCAAGCTTTTGTTTCCTAAATATCATTTAACAGTTCATACAGGGGATCTATAAAAATACCACTGTCAGAAGAACCTATCACTGTATCAGTGGGTTCCGACAGCTGCTGCTCAGCCACGTCGACGATATCCAGTGCTCGACCAAAATCTACTGGCCTTCTAGATGATTGCGATATGGAGCCACGCAGTACTCACGGTATTCGAGCTCCGAGAAGCCTTGATTGCACTGATGGTGGCCATATCAGCAAATCTCGTCGCCTGGACAGATTCCGGGTCTCCAGAGAGCCTCGGCGGTTGCGGGAATCCGCTTCTGAGCAGCTAAAGTCCGACATATTTCAATGTATAAACGAACGCCCTACAGATCCAAATATTGGGATCACTGCGCCTCGGCAGGATGAGGGATTACAGCTAGCTCAAGGCGCTGCTAGACGTCCAGAATCGCAAAGATCACATTCAATGCCCATTGCTGTGCACAGTCAGAATGCTGGTGGAATTCAGAATGTTTCTCACGCCACGAAAAAGCAAGAGCAAGTGCAGGCATCATGGCACACGAGAAATGAAGAAATAATAAATCAAAATGTGGAGATGGTGGGTGGAGGGGCAGACACCCAGGAAGAAAAGCCTCATGAAATGTTTAGGCAGCCGGACACGCACGCCATTACCGAGGAGCAACTGATCAATGAAGTGCGGGGAATCTATACCGGACTTGTTATGGTGGAAAAGAAGTGCATCGAAATCGACAGACAACAAGCACAATCAAAAGCCGAGCTATCACAGGCTCAGTGGCAGACACTCGTCTCCCTACACCGAACACTACTCTATGAACATCATGATTTTTTTCTCGCCTCTCAACATCCGTCAGCTGGTCCTATTCTCAAGGATTTAGCTGATAAGTATGCGATGCCGGCGCGTATGTGGCGGTATGGAGTGCATTCATTTTTGGAGCTATTGCGTCAGAAGCTCCCCGGCTCGATGGAGTATATGCTTGACTTTATCTACCTCTCGTACTCGATGATTACATTGCTGTTAGAAAGCGTGCCAAACACTAAAGAGACTTGGATTGAGTGTCTGGGTGACTTGGCGCGGTACCGAATGGCCGTGGAAGATTTCGACAAAAAGGACCGCGAACTCTGGGCAGGGGTGTCAAGGTATTGGTACAACCAAGTCGCGGACACAAGCCCGGAAAAAGGCTGTATCCAGCATCATCTTGCTATTTTAGCTCGATCGGATGTTCTTCAGCAATTTTTTCACTACACGAAAGCATTGATCAGCGTGCGTGCATTCCCTAATGCTCTCAATGGCATGAGTGAGCTAATCACTTCTCTCATGGATGTGCCGATCCTGAAAAGAAGTTTGATAACTTGGTTCGTGGCTACTCACGGTGCGCTTTTTATGCAAGCTCCGGTTGAAGATTTCGTTTCTCGAGCGAATATCTTTCTTGCCACCCTACGTAAGGAGATTCGTCGGGTAGGCCCACACGGGCAACAAGGTGTGCAACTCATGTCTTGCAATATCGCTGCAATATTTCAATATGGGAGTAAATACGCAGCGATCAAAACGGATTTTACATTGAAGCCGCGCAATCCTACAGCAGAAAACCGCTTAGTGGCAACCAGGTGGGCATCTAGTGCACCAATATACGCAACATGCAACGATCTCTCATCTCAGCTTGCGTTCCGGGCAAGCTCTCTCATGTTTCACACATTGATCATCATGCTAGGCCAAATCGGTGATCCCAACATGTACCCGAGTGTGCATATCGCTATGGCATTTGTGTGGTGCCTCACCCTAAAATCAGCTGCTATACAACGACTAGAACCGCTAGTTCCGTGGTCGCAACTTGCAAATTATTTAAATACCTTATTCCGCCCTGACACGATCATTTCCAAGATCGAAGACGAATCATTCCCACTTCTTAACGACTCAACTATACACCAGCTACCAGAGGACTTTTTGATCAGAGGACAGGCATGGAGCCAGCTGTACTACCCACAAAGATTCTTCGAGGGGGCTCCTACCAAAAACAACAGACCATCAACAGAAGAACATTCGACAGTGATTCTTAGAACACATAGATGTCTCTGGGTTGGAGTGCGGATCGCAACCGTCCGTTTGCCCGTGTTCCCATTAGCACCTCTAAAGCTAACCATCTATCTTATACTAGGTCGCCCGCTGGATGACGTACGATCAGACTCGACGGTTCACGCCCACCCAGTTAGCAGATGAATTCGCCCCAATGGCAGAATCGCCCGCGTGTCTCTATGGTAATCATTATGCACTAGGAACTGAGACATCATCCTCTCCCAATCAGGATATATAGGAAGATTGAAAACGTGTTTGGGTGACTGCTGGGTCTGTTGTACTTTCCGCCTGCTGTGCCTCTTAACGGAGAATATCTGGGGGATGGTGGTAGTTAGCGGGTGTTTTTGTCATTTTAGTTAGAGTTATGCATATCAGTTGACCATATAGGGCTAACCTAACCCACCGGTACACTGCAATAATACCGTCATGGAATTCTCAGTAAAATTATTGTGTGGGCCTGCAGCGAAAGTGCTAGTTACTGGGCCGCCAGCCAATATGACCGTTAGCGCAAAGGGCTTAGGGCAAAGTCCACGGGCCTTATAGCTATCGAGGGCCAGTGGCCAATGATGGCCAGGTCATTATCCGCTCGCCCCAAATAAATAAATGACCAATCCAGTGAGCAAATTGTGCCCATGGTGCGATTATAAACTAGGAAAATGAGGCAGAGTCTGGAAGGTAAAAGCAAAAATCTTCCTACCTCTAGTGTTTATTGCGTATGCTAGACTCCAACAGTAATGGTGGTAGATCTACCGCTTGTACACAATAAGGAATCCGCCACTAAGATGGCCAGGTTTTAGTGGGCCAAGGACATGGGCAAAGAGAAGGTTCAGACCAAAAATTGAGGTCAGACCGGGTCACATCGGAACATCTATGTGAGGCAAGAGCGCTTATCGTGGCTCACTAGACCCTTGCAAGTCTGGTTCCTAGGATTCTTCTGCGGGGGTAAGTGCAGCCAATGCGTGCTCCCAGCCAGGAGGAAAATCTGTGTCATGCACAGGAATACAGACTACCCCTTAGGATCTGCGCGCGCATTTGCCTTCAAGGCAGCAAATACCCTCATTCCTACTCGTCAAGGCTGCTCCATGAAACCTTTTATATGTAATCCAACCTCATGAGCTATCTGGACATACATGACTCTAAGTTGGTTCATTATTGCGGCAGTATGTCCCATGATGGAAACCCATTCAACGTCACTGGCTTCGTGTTCGCGGAAGTCCCAACAAACTATTTCTATGGCCCGACATACAATCCGCTACCTTCGGAGATAGGTTTAAAAAGTTCTATCCATCCGAGCGTTCCACAATCGGAAAGCTGGTTAACAGGATCTGTGTCTTCAACCGTCACTCCCTCTCCCCGGCCAATTTCGAGATATCGAGAAATAAGACCTCGGCCGGCACCAACATCACCTCAACCGGAAACCAAGAATGAAGAAAAGCAGCGAGTCCGGAGGCCCACCAAAAAGGCACGTCGAACGGTATCTGGGGTTACTGGCGCGACCAACCAATCAGCCGGGCGTAATGAAACGAGGTCTGCATGGCTGATTCCCCCAACCTTCGTTGCATTTGCTAAATAGACTCTTTCAGCACAGCAAAAAAACCGCGAATGTCGACTCACGATTCAGCCACTCAGGGCCCTCGCTCTCGCTCGCGCGATTACCCTCCATATAACCAAGGAAGCCCTCAAGTTCCGGTCGAGGCTCTCCAGAAAGCCTTGAAGGCTCAAGTCTTAAACTCACTGAGGGTTTTGCGCAAGATTGCTATGGATTACCGCGCATTCAACCTGGATTCTGAGATAATTGATGGTTGGGTGGCGGAAATTGAAGGAGTTGATGCAAAAACTATCCCAATTGCATCCAGCATGACGGTGCAGATGTTTGTTCCTTTCGAAAGATTGAACTCCATTCTCACGGAATGCATCACAGCTACGGGCCCCATGCGAAGCTTTACTATCAGGGATCAGGCGCTCGAGTTGTTGAAATATATATTGACTTATGCGGAGGAGTACTACTTAGTCCAGAGTTCGCAGGTCTATTTTGATATTGGTAGATGGATAGAAAGACTTAACCAGACAAAAATGAGGCAGTGAAATGACGCTATTCTCCGAAGGTCTGGAATATTATCTTGCTCTTTTCATACCATTTCGTGTCGGATACTATTTTCTTCTTTTACCAAATCTCATTCTGATATTCTGTGAATATGTTCTCTGATATGTCACATATCCGAGAGGCTCAGTGCCGCTCTCCCCGTATTGGAGCAATGAGATCTTCTGTCTTTCCCTAAACTGGGTTCCAATACACTATTCCAATGTTCTACCGGTTGCTTATCTCGGTGCTTCCATCCCTCTTTTGCGGTACAGAATATCATCATGTCCAGCTAGTATTATTCCTGTGTTATGGGTGCCTTGTTGTGGGCTCTATCATTACAGTCGCCAGCTGGTTGGAATGCAGAGGTACGTTGGGAGATTTCTTGTAAACACCGATCCCTAGGATCTCCTCTGGGGTTTGGGAATTGGAGTATATTTGTCTCACAGATGCATCATTGGTACCTCTTCATCATGTGGCACACGGGGTCGGACTGGTTCTTTCACGGAAAATTCTGCAGGAAAAACGTAATCATTAGCTTGCGGCTTCCACTGCAATAATGATTCTGAGATTCAACGGAGAGTTTGTGTGAATACCTCCATGGACATCCTGCTATCGCATCCGTGGCTTGTTGGAAGGGCCGCCTGCTTGTTTGATCAAAATCGGCAGCTGGGTAGGGAACAAGTCTTCGTCTACAAAACGTCGTCAGCAAGCGCTAAAATTGTGCGACTGGGTCTACAACCACTGAATGGATGTGGAAAAGGGGATGCTGGAGGGGAAAGGGGATGCTGGAGGGGAAAGGGGATGCTGGAGGGGAAAGGGGATGCTGGAGGGAAAGGGGATGCTGGAGGGGGAAGGCGCGGTGGATAGGAAGCCGACATTTCTTGGGCACATCTTCGATCTAGACGGGATGCTTAACCTATTAACCTACAGCAAGCCTTTGGCAGTATTTCATTCGCTTGCTGTACAGTGAAGGTGCAGTAGCGTGAGGGTATCTCAGAAGTTGCATTGCCCACTTTCCTGCGATATGATTTGTGCAAGGCCGTTGATGGGAAATGTCAAAAAGAGCTTTGGGTTATATATTTATCTATCCGGATAGACAAAATAGTTCAATTTCCTGTAGTTGTACACCTGTTGTTGAGTCCTGGGTGCGAGGCGTGAGCTTGAGAGAAGAGATGAGCCGCTGACTGTCAGTTTTAGGGAAGTCAGGCTCACCTGGGTCACCTACTTTCCACCTTTCCTAAAGAATCCGATCACGGTAGTCCTGCTTGTCTCATACCACCATCAGTCCTCCTACCATCAGATACAATCCATCCCCTAGTTGCAATGTCGCTTCCACTCGGTTTCTCTTCTGCTATGCTCGAAATTACTGAATCATCCAACTCACCCCCGACTAAAGCTCTTCGCGCCTGAGCCTGGAAAGACTTAGCCATCAAGATATGACATTTTACTCCGAACTTTGGCTGGACTGGTTTGGAATTTATCGTTTGATTGCAATTTGTTGGTCCAAATGATAATTATCAGGCCCATCGAACTACTGACCTCTCCCATCCGTCTCTTCGTCACACGATCGCTTGTCTTTGCTCGACCAAGATGCCGTATAGGACAAGGGTCAGCACACCACCCCCATGTCATATGCTTCGAACAAAGGGTTCCTCTCAACGACCGGTGAGATGGTTTGGTGTGTCCTAAAGGCGCTAGTCAGACCCCCGGTCAGAAGCCCTGCGGCTGCAGTGGGAGATAGCTCGCGCGCGTTGTTGATTCAAGATAAGTTGAGGTAAGTCCCATCTGTTTGATCTGTCACGTATTGTACCATACTCTGACTCTATCTCTTCTGATCAAAAGGATGTCGCTGAATACCCTCAGCTGGAATCTACGCCTGTCCAATCTTCAACCACGGTCTATGATCCTTGCCCACAGAATATCCATACCTCACAAAGCCCGTTCCTCTGTCCTCCTACTCCGCTGTGTAGTAGAGCTACTCCGCGATGATACGACTGACAAATTGAAGGGGAGGGGCGAAGGGCTATATCGCCAACCTCTCGAAACACGTTATTCCAGAGGTTGATCTTCCAAGGTCCACCGCCTCGGGACTGAGCTTACTATGGAACTATGGGAGAAGTACTCTATCACACACTGCACGAAGGTGGTAACATATACTTCATATCACGCGGATTCTGGAGGCGCTATAGCGTGGTGGTAACAAAAGCATTGACGGGGGAGGATGAAGCGTTTCTCCCATGGTTAAATCGATATTTGGATAGAGTCACAGATATCCAACATGTTGCTGATAAGCCAGGAAGCACATTTTCTCATGTCGATATTGTCAACTTCTTCAGGCCAAATGTGCATCCCGAGGCATTTCTCTGACTTGACGGCTTGAATCCCGCATAGGTCCCGAACAACAAGGTTTTCATATCTCTCTTCTCCATATCACTATTTGCTTTATGCGCCCTTGCTGACGGACGGCAATTTGAGTTAGGCACTTCGTAACTGTCAGTCCGGGTTAGGCCGATAGCTATCCTGGGTGAGGTATAATATTGGTCATAAAGTGAATACTACCCGACTGTGCGGCTAGACGATGCAACTATCTGCCATATACTGGAAACTAGGATATTTCTTCGGTTTGCAAAAGCCCGAAGGCGGAACATTGTATTTTTATGGTGAGCGGAAAACATCACAACAAGGAAAAGTTTCAGTTTGCCACAACATCTCCCTATGCTGAGCTGACTTTGCATCCTCACCCAGCTCATGTTCCTGACGCTAGGACCGACCATGACGTACACGCTTCACACACTCTCTCGTCCAGCAACACAATATTCCAGCAAAATTGACTTCGCCGTCAAATGATTGATCCACAGTGTAGATTATCTGTGACACATTTTATTGGCGCCACGAAGATGTACCGCGTTATTCCACTACTCAAGGAAGCGCTCAATGGCCGCAGTGCGAGGTACAGTACCAGACATAAGGAATTATGTGGACACCTGGTCATTGTCCTCACGCTGGGAGGTGGTTATAGTTTGGAACAACCGAAGTAGCGGCTGTTGCACCGACTCGCCGCGCTGTTTGAACTCGCGAATATGGGGCTGGAGGAACGGAATCCCAGGATGCTGATCGAAGCGCTGGCGGTATGAAACGAAATTGTGGCTCGGGTCTATGAGAGGCAGGATTTCGGGTGGTATCAAAGAGGCAGGAATAACGGTACGACTGGCGGCGAAATCACGGAATATATTAGATCCGGCCGCAATATATTTGCAAAGGCCGTCTAGCATAGCCATTAGAGAATAATAGTTATGTGCTTCATAAAGCTCCTGTGAGAAAACAAATTAAACTTCAGTTTCTTGGTATGTTCGATAGTTGGAGTCCTCACCAATGTGCAGGTCTGAAGGTACGGGACTAGGTCCGACAGTCCAGAGCAGCATTCCAACACAGAATTGCTTAGCCTTTGCCAATGGATGAGGGTTTCCGAAACCATAGCATCTTCCAATATAAGTGTCTGTCGCGACAGTCTCTCAAATAAACATTTATCGGCCTGTGTCAAGGCTTTTGCCAAATCGGTCGCTGATGAAGAAAGGCAGTCTTCCAACAAAGGAAGAGAAGTTTCGAAGGGTGCGAACCAATTCATCTGGTCGGAGTGTCTGTATGCTTTCTGGAAGCGTACACTAAGGACACTAAGAACCTTGAATATAGTTGATAGGCTGGAGGAATGGTTTTTGAAAAGTTGCTGGATTGGGGCCGCGATGAATAAAAGTCCTGGAGTATTTTGTGAAGGCATATTGTGCTTGCCGTCTGGCTGGATGACTATGATGCACTGGGAAAGGGCTTGATGGGCAAAGGGACTTCGATTCCGAAGATGCTATGTAAAACAATTAGTCGCTTGTCCTATGGCGGAGTATGCAGATCATCCGTTTTGAGCTTCATGGATCACCAACCTCCTCTACTTCTAAATAAAGCAGAAGTTCCTCCGCGTACATTTGTAGATGATCCACAAGAAGACCGTATAATGATGTGTGCTGCTGAAAGAACCACTCTACTGACACAGCTTTGTGTCCAAGAGCGGAGCGTACGATATCCTCAAAGGCGATCTGCTGGAAATGACGATGGCTCTCTCCCTCAATTTCTAGAGCGATTGCTCCAGGGTCCGATGAACGTCCTGGTATTGTAGGAAACCAGCTCCATATAATCAGTGGAAGTTGCTGGATACTCGATCGAAGCAGGATCTCTTCCACTTTCTGTGGATGCGACAGCTCAGATAGGCGGCAATGCTGGTGCGGCTCTGACGCCGCAACGAGGAACTCATTAATGAACTGCGTATTGCGAAACAACAGTGAGTTTCGCGGAGAATCTTCGTCGTGGAATAGCCCAAATCGGATCGCATGACTCATATCTTTGAAATCATAAGCCCATAGCATATTGATTGCCTCATCTTCCCACCATCGATATCCCACAGAAAACTGAGGAATCTCCACACTAGGCCGAAAGGCAAACGGGAATGACCCCATACCCACGGGGGGAGCGTTTCTTGTTGGGCTTTGCATCATCTTGGACAATATCAGCAGTGACTTGGTGATTTCCTGGAGGTGGGGAATATATTGGTGTCGGCAGACCCAGGGGCAAAGAAAGCTCCATCCATCTATCTATAATTTAACTTACCGCTAGTGTCACTTTGTGTATAAGAGTGGTCTGTATCAGAAAAATACTATCGATGACCACACGGGCATGATGTGGCGTTTTGACAATATATGGCGAGACCGGAGAGGGGCGAGGAGTTAGAGAAGGCAAAGTCCACGCCCCAAAGTTAGCCAGAGCGCCCGCCGTATTGAGCCAGTATTCCAAATAGTTGACCTCATATCAGGTTCTCATTAGCACATTGAGGATGGTATGAAATCTGAACCATACCCGATAGGGAATGTCCCCCAAGCCAGAATTCCTCGACCCCTTGCGAGTTACAAGCTCACCTTTTGATGTTTCACAAGAACCATAATTCCTTGTTTATTTTTCT